GGAAAACAATGTATTCAAATTTTTTTTAAATAAACTAGTATAATTTAAAAAAGAAAATAATAATAAAAAAAACTTCCAGATGGTGTGGATCTTTTCTCTCTTGCATGCTTTAGTTCATTCTGTTTCCTCTGAATTGCTTTCCCCTCTTGGGATGGTGTAAGAGGACTGGTTTACCTCCTGTTAATAAAGTTCTAGTGGCAAGAAGCTGTGCTGCAATCCTGAAGGCATGCAGTTTTAATACACTAGCTATTCCACAGGAGAGAGATGGGCAATCTCCTTGAATGGGATTAAACGGCCTCTGAAAACCTTCTGGAGGGTCACCTAGGGTCATGTTCTGTCTTGACAATAGACAGTAACAACAACAAAGGACATAGGAGTGGGCAGCTTTCTTTGTGGGGGAAAAATCCTCAACCTTGAAACTCATTTACTCACCATTTTCTTCTGCTGCCTTTTTCTGGCCAGAAGCTTAAGAATTATTTTGTGTTTTATTTTTATGAATAAGTCTCTTCCTTAATTCTTTCTTTTGGTCAATCACTAAGCTTCTAGCCACTAAGTAGAGCTCTACTTACCACTTGGTAAGGACAGCAGTCCAAGGAATAGAAAAGTTCCCTGCCTCAAAAAGATGACAATCTAGCATATCTAAAGAAGGTCAACTGCAGATATGCTAAAAAACAAAAAACCCCCACAAACCAATAAACTCTATGTCCTAACAGTTAGAACCTATTGTTTACTATGACCTAGGACCTAAATGGCTTCTTTAGTTTTCAAGAATAAAAGTATATAAAACATCTTCCGTTGATTCTTCTAAGTGGCACTGGAGCATTTATTTGAAAATAAATGAGTCTGGCATTACTTTATGTGGTGAACCTTAAGATTTGCTGGGTCATGATTTACACCATCTTCAGTCTTGGCTGTTACAGCCTAAGTATTGATCCAATCTCTTGAGGATCTTCCTCTCTTTCAGTGACTCTCTATTCTACCAACATACCTTCTTCCAAGGATTGGGACATCCTAATAACATTTCCCAAGTATTTGAGATGTCTCACCATTCTTGCTTCTATGGAGCACTCTGGACATATTTCTTCCAAGACAGATTTGCTTGTCATTTTACTACTCCATGGAATATTCAATATTCTTCATAAATATCTGAATTCTAAAGGTATTAATACAGCATTAGGTACCCCAATTGGGTACAAAACCAGGGTGATGGCTGTGGAGGCCATCTAGTCTGATTTCCACTGGCTCCCCAAGGGGAAAGGATTCCCATTAACAACACAAAGACAATTCTTATGAGATATAGCCCCCTCATGCCACACCTTCCTATAATTCTTACACCAACTATTTTGTCCATGACTCTCGCTACTCAACAATAGGACGAAAAATTAGAGCTTGTTGGGGAAGGAGCAAGTTACAATTCAGTTTGGAAATAGCTGAGCTACAAATCTCAGCTGTGGTCACAGGCATCTCTTCGATTCTCAACTTGGTGGCTCTGGGTTATGCCTCGTGCTTAGTTCAAATGTTGTTGTTGTTTGTTGTTGTTATGTGCCGTCGAGTCGCCTGCGACTCATAGCGACCCTATGTTAGTAGACTTTTTTTCTTTTCTGCTAATTATGTGCTACCTCCAGTCTGCCACCAAGCTTAGGCCTCAAGGTTTCAGCTTTAGCTCCAAAGGTCAGCAGACCTAGTTCAGCACTGGTCGCTGGGTCCACGTCACCTCTGCTTCCCTCATCACTGATACTACTATCTGGGCTGCTGTGTTCAGTCTCTGGCCATCTCCTGAAGGAATTACTGGCCAAAAGAGTGTGTTAAATTCTTTGCTTCTTCATTGATGATAGGGAGATTCTCCTTTACTGTCTTGCAGGCTGTTTACTTAAAGCCTGGTCAACTGAATACTGAACTCATTGCTGTCAAGTTGGACCTGATTATCAAATCTCAGAGGAAGAGACTGTGCACCTTCCCCCCACAGAGCCACTGGTGGATTCAAATTGCCAGCCTTTGGATTAGCAGCAAAATGGACCACCAACTATGCTAGCATTTATATATGTTGTTTGCATGTTTCCACACAAAAGGTGCCATTTATCTTATTTACAATATTTGTAAGCTATCTGGTCTCCTTGTTAAGTCACAAACACCTAATATTTGCAGAGTCCAGTGGCTGCAGTAATGGCTTCAAGTGTATCAGAGACGATGAGGATGGCACAGGATAGGACAGGGTTCAGATCTGTTGTTCATATATGGTTCCTATGAGTTGTATTCAACTCAATGGCATCTAACAAGTAAACCCTCAATCATGTGGTGAGATGGACACACAGGCTATAAAAGTCATATTAAATAATCCATCAATCTTTCAATCAACTGAAATGATCTCAACAAGTTATCTGATTAGTCATTTCAGACCAAAATCAAATTTTCCTCTTGGATTTCTGAGGCAATTTCTATCTGAGTAACTCTGGCTATCGCTACTATGGTTCCTTTGATCTCTGATGAGATTATTTTCAAAGAAATTGGCATGTTTCCAACTATATATTGGTTCTGCCTATTTTCTTTCCATCCACCACAGATTTAACACATCTTCTAGTTTATATGATAGATCACTCACATTTGTTGCAAATACGGCAAGGCTGCCACCACTCTTAGCAGATTTGATTTCTACAGAGAATCACTTGCTTTTACAAGTGTTGAGTAAGTGTTAACTAAAAGTTAACAGGCCTGTGACATATTTTGCATAGAAAATCATAATCCTCCCATTCTGTCCAAAGCATCCAAGTAATATACAAATTATAAACCCTTAATAGTAAGATGTGGCTAGTAAAATGTGAATAACAAATAGAAGTTGCTAAATTTCTTCAACATATATTTATAATTAAGAATCAGGTTGTTATCAGCTCTGTTTTCAGAACTTCCAAAATATGTTGTTATTAAGGAGGCTTTTTTCCAACAATTTCAACAAGTATAGCCACAAAATAAAAACAAGAGAAATAATCATTTAAATGTCTGAATATTCATTTGCATTTAGACAACTATACTTGCTTTCTGCAATCTGGATTATTTTTTTTATAGAAAGAATAATGCAAAGACCTAATTTGAATAAACACATAAATGATTTGTTTTTATACACTGCACATGACTTTCTAACTGCACTTACTATATTTCATGTCCACAACAATGAATCTAATAGTCTATTTCTCAAATAACACCCTGTTATAAATTGAACTATGTGCCCTGAAGTTTCTGTAGAAGCCATAACCTCCTGTCACCATGAAGATGACCTTGTTTGGAAATAGGGTCCTTGAAGATGCTATCAGTTAACATAAAGATCTATTGAAATAGGGTTAGTGCTGATCCAATCTAAGTGCTGTCCTATCAAGAAGGGGAAGAGGTGAGGACAGAAGGAAAATGGCAGTGTAACAGCACAAGCTGTACGGCAGTTTTAAGCCTAGGGGCCATGAGAAGTTCAGAGACAAAGGATCGTGTTTCCCTTTCTTACAAGAGAACAAGGACTTTCCCAAACCCTGAATTTTGACTGCTACTGGTTTTTTGTGCTCCTGATCAGAACCAATAAATAGGTGACCTCCCAATGGGTTTTGTAAACCCATCACCATAGGTGACTTTCCAAAGAGAGGATATAAACTACATGGGAGAAAAATAGAGATGTTTAATGTATTTATATATAAATATACATATTTATCTAATTTTCATATATTTAGATATGAAAATGTTTCTATATTTTAAATATTTATATATTGTATATTATTTACATTTCATTTATGTATTTTCATTTCTTCTCTACATTTATATATCTAAATAAATAAAAGAAATTAAAATATATATAAATATAAATTATATATATAATCTCCACTTCCAAAACAACATGCCCGTGGAGGTCCTATGAACCTTGATATATGTCGACAGTAGAGGGGCTTCAAGTCTTTTGTTCATAAGGTCGCTACGAGTCGTGCTCGATGTGAAGGCAATCAACAATTATATATATATATGCACACACACACACACACACACACACACATATACATACATAATTTCCTATATAAATTACATGGGGAAAATTTTACATTTTTCTCCCAAAGAGCAGGTATATGGATTCGAACCATATACCACTGGGCTGTCAGTGCAACAACTTATTCTTAGGCCACTAGAATATTCTGAATTTGGCCTATTAGGCTTTAAAACTGTGGCACATTAAATTCTTATTCTTATAAGCTAATCTATAGTACTGTTACAGCTGCCCTAGAAAACTATTTGATATCATTATAATTTACTTTTTCACTTTAGTGGTTTCTCCCCTTGTCTCTATTCTTTACTCCTCAATATTCTGCTTTTTTTTTTTCATCAGGTACCACAGTTATTTGTGTACATGTCTATTTATCTAGCTTAGTAGTAAGCTAATTAAAGACAAACATTTTGATACACAGAAAGTATAAAAATTAACTAGACCAAGAAGATCAAATAGCTACATCTTTGTTCACCAAGATCTTGGTCTTAGAGAATCGAATGCTTCTCACCTTCCTTCCATCTTGGGACTCTTATTTGATTTAAACCATGTCAAGGGATAAAATTTGAAATTCATTCTCCAATTTAAGGCACAGTATTTTCACTGACAAGGGGAAAAAAAACAGTATCAACTTCACAGCTGCAAAATTAAACTATATCATACTAGCAGGCCTGAAGTAGGCCAGGGTTCAAAATGCAGAAATTGAGGCATTTTTACATGTTTGAAAACTGACAGGTTACAAAGAAAAAACAAAGATGACAAGATGACAAGCGTCGAAAATTCTAGGCAACATTAATTAATGCGAAGGAAGCAAAATCGCAAATGTGCAGACTGACAGAGAGAGGCCTTTGAAAGGCTCAGTCCCCTCTTAGAAATGTGGAACTATGGCAGGAAAGGGAGTTTTCAGTGCAGCTAGTGTGACAATCCCGCGGGTGCCACACTGGACTGCTCAGTGTCTGTGACAGCAGAGAAATGGGGTGCTCTTTCTTACCTCCAGATGCTCTAGAATATAGGGTGGATTTGTCATGCCCAGTCTCAGCATCGCCCCCTCGGGAATGACTTCGACCAGCTTCCAAAGGAGCATGGGGAGACTGGTGCCAATATCTCTGCCATAAGCCCCCGTGTCTTCACTGGTCAACCATATCTCACAAACACCCTCTGTGAATCAAAGGAGATAATTAACAAATCTGTGGCTGAGCCGTTTTCCTTCATCATACAGCTGCTCACTCGTTTTAATGCACTATTTCTCAACACAATGCAGACAGTCTGGGCATTCAGTTGCAGGCAGGAGAGGGGGAGGCAGTATATTCCATAGTGGCTGTGGGTTATTAAGCTCATTTTATAAACACCAGAGAGTTATAACAATGCTGAAAATTATCAGTGTATGCTATGGAGTGATTACCATTCATAGCCAATCAGTGCAACCATTGCTTTATCCAAAGCACTTTGATCAGGACTGAAGCCTCAGTACCACCACTGAGAGTAACTATTTTAGTCAACACCAGAAGCTCTGAAACAGAAAGCATGTCTCCACAGAATAGGCACTATCAGTAGTTAACTCACTAATCTGTCTGTCACCAATCCAAGGAGAAACGTCAAGTGCAGTTAAGGTTTAACTCACACATTACTATTGACAAGGTAGTCATCTCTCTTGCATTATAGGAGAATTGATGCCTTTGAGTTGTGGTGTTGGAGAAGAGTATTAAACATACCACGGACTGCTAGAACAAAGAGGTTTGTCCAGAGGAGGGTGAAACCAAGCTGCTCCTTGGAAGCAAGGATTCTGAAGCTCTGTCTGACATACTTTGGGCATGTTGCAAGGAGGGACCAGTACTTGGAGAGGGACATCATGCTAGGAGGGTAAAGGGACCTCATATGACAGGAAGGCCCTGGATGAGATGGACTGATGTAGTGACTGGCAAAGTGGGGGCAGGTGTGTCACAGATAATAAAGTTGACTTAGGATAGAGTGGGGTTCAGAGCTGTTGTATGTGGGGTCACAAGGGACTTGACGGCACATAACACCACCACCATACCATTAAGACTCATGTACCTTGTATTGCTGTGCTGAGAAGTCTGTTTCTTGACATCATGCATACTATTTTTCCATCAACCAGACATTGTAATGCACCACTGATTCAGAACCAACTCATAGTTGATCCTCGAGTAGGTTTTCAGGAGCTGTAAATTGCATGGGAGGAGACTGTCCATCTTTCTCCTTCACAATATGTGGTTGATTCGAACTGCCTGCCTTTGGGTTGGCAGTGTAACTCCTTACAACAAAGGCACCAGATCAACTAGACATTAAGACAATGTGTATCTGGCGTCTCACTATTATTGTTATGAAGTCCTGATTTCAGAAATCACAGCCTGAAATAGCATTCTTTACAAAATGGAGAGGAAATAGAGGGAGCTCTGATGGCCTAGTGGCAAGAAGCTGAGTTTCAATCCCGAAGGCATGCAGTTCGAATCCACCAGATGCTCTGCAGAAGAAAGAGGGCGAATATCCTCCTGGACCTGTCAGGTCTGATTTGACGGTACACACAAAAAATAAATTAAAAAAACAAAACAAACAGAAACCCCAAAATGGAGAGGAACTACTTCTGGATCACTTAGTGTTATTTACAATGAATTGAAAAGAGTTAGCAAGAGCCACCCATGTTTTCAAGCCACACAGAACCTTTCTGAACCCATCTTCATTTCAATAAGCCTGTGAAATTTGTTCATGCTAATGTGACAAAGAAAAAACAAAAACAAAACACCTCACATACACATGCACACAGTACACTCTAAGAATATAGGCTGAATCAAATGCATACACTTCTAGAAAGGGTTTAAATTATTGTAAAGTGGCTTCAATTGATCAAACAGAAAGTCTCAAAAAAAAAAAAACAACCACAAACCACCCAAAAAAACCAAACCCAACCAAACATTTCAAGATTCTTAGTTTCAAGAAACAAAGTTCACGTTTTCATGTGAATATAGACTTATAACTTACAAAATATATTCCCTCTTTAACATGTTCCAAAGAGCAAAGATGTCCATCTATTACTCTTTCCTTTAGACTAAGAGATGGCTAAGTTGAAATGTCACTTCATTAAAAATCACCCAACTCTTGGAATATACTCCAAGAGAATGAGAACTGAGGAACAGACAGACACTTGTACACCAATGTTCATAGCAGCCTTACCATCACAAGAACATGGAACAGCCCCAAGTGTCCAACTACAACCAAATGGATTGAGAAATTATGGTATGTTCACACGATGGAATACTATGCAGCATACAGGAACAATGATTTTACAAATCACTATATAACTTGGGAGGGACTGGAGAGCATTAATGCTAAGTGAATTAACTCAGTTACAGAAGGACAAATATTATAAAAGACCATCATTGTAGAATAAGTATAATGATCCAAAGTGGGGGAGCAGAGGGCTAAGGATGGGGGGCTATTAACCATAGAATCTCACAATTATATGGGGGGGATGAAGAAATGGGAAAGAACTGGTGTGAAAAGCAATGTATATGAACTTTGTAAATAAACCAGTATAATAAAACAACAACAACAAAAAACCCACCCAACTCACCCCAAAACATTTTCTTTCTCCCCTGCCCATCCTTCTGAGGCATACATACCCTGACAGCCACAACATGGAAAACATAAGGACAGAAACAAAATTTTGCTGTCTCAAAATTAAAGAAAGTAACAACCTTGCCTTAGAATAGAAACACCCCCCCAAATTACGTTATATTTAAGCTACATTTTAAAAACTGATTGTTATCAATATTTAAAACTACTATTATGAATGTATAGATTGTTTTCTTAGTTTAGTTTAGTTTGTACTAAATTCTTCAGAAATCAATGAACTTTAATTTGAATTTGATAAAAACATTTATCTTCAAACAAAATTGCCTGCTATATAGTTTCTGCTTTATGCAACAGGCCATATTTGTATTCTTATAATTTTATAAATATTCTCTGCATATGGAATACTTTTAATTTACAAAAAATTAGTCGTAGATAGTGGTATAATATTTACTTTAACATTGCATATGCCATCAAACACTGGGCTCAAACAAGCTTTTTATTCCCCCCCCCCCCAAATCTTATCACACAATCCACTTGCAGGAAAAGAGATGGCTAAGTAACAACATAAACGGATTTTTAAAACCCTCTGAAAAAGGTTATAAAAACAGGGCATTACCCATGATTTTCCAGTTACTGGCATATGAGCAGCACAATATGAATATTTTAAGGCGAACAGAATAATTTTAATTTCTAATTTTTCCATCCAAATGGTTCCATGCTACGCCTGATGTAGAGAGAGCGAGTCGCTGGAACAGTGCCTTGCTGTAGCTGGATGAATATAGAAAGGGGAAAATAACTCTGAATAGGAATGGAAATAACATCCACACTGAAAACAGCAGCCGGCTCTTAAAGCTGCAGAGGTGGGGACCAATAGCCCCCTGGTGGGCTGGGCTTCAAATGGAATCACATAAAGAGGAAGCAGCTGTAACTAAATCAGCGACAACAGGAATAATGGCCTTGATGCCTCCAAGACCACTGAAATACTCCACATAGAAGCAACCTGGGTTAAAACACTGAAATGAGGGAACCTGGGTAAAACGTGAAAGCCCTGGCTTTTAGGATAATTATGCCTTACTTACTCAATTAAATCAATCAATTTTTCTTTTAAATATACTGCCTGCCCTCAATCAAAGTGAAAAAAATTCAGGCTGTGTAAGTTGGCATTTCAGGCATTCATTTTAATGAGAGTTGATCTCTCAGAGAGGATATAAAGTCATTCCTACTTAAAGATGAAGCTACGTGTGGATGCCCCGTGTCTGACAGCTTTTTGCCCTGGGAGGTCTTGTGATTACTCGCGGGGGCGAGCAGTGCATGTCTGGTCAGGCTCATGTATGAATTCACAGGGGAGCCTGCGGGCTGCAGTCTACAATCACTAATGGATATTGGGACACATGCATGCTTATATCTGCACACTTAATTGGCTCTACTTATGGACAGATGTGCTTGCCTAAACAGCTTCATCCTGACGGACTTCAGTTATGAGCGATATTCCTTTGTACATTCAATTCTTTATTCCTCTATCAAACAGCGATTAGGCCTTTACTGGGTGTGGGCCACGAAGACCTTCCAGCTGATGACAGACTTGGATTCACCAATAAACTTCTGTGATCTAAGACTGCCCATCACCTGGGAGCCTCACAAGGGGATACTATCAGACTGACATCCAGGGGATGACTCCTCCATTCCTGTTTGAGGAGTGAGGTGGTTGGAAAACCAGAGCTTTAGAAACAAAATCAAGAAGAAATTAAATAAAAAAAAAATAAAAAATAAAAAAAAAAAGAAACAAAATCAAGGACCAGCTGGGCTGCCTTGACGTGGTGATGACGTCTGCCTGATGTGACAGTCCCATTCTGTATTGCAACCTGGACTCTGATTAATACCTGCCAGAAAAACAAACATATGAAAACGAGAAAAGGAAAAAAAAAAGCAGCAAGCTGGATGAATTAAGAAAAGCACATGCCCATTAAAAACTCCTATATCTGTTAAAATAATTACATGCAAAAAAGTGAGCGTGGGGGAGGCAGCACAAAGTGAGACAGCAATCAGCATTTTTAATAGACCCAAGCAGAAATTTTACTTTTGCATAAAATTACTCCTCTCCCTGAGTTTTGTTCATTTTCCTACAATTGTTGGGTCTACTTGAGTTTGTCATGAACATCAAGTTCATCAAATCACCCATCATCCTTTTGATGTGTTAATTTTGGTGAAAGAAAAAGCAAGCACTAGAAAAGCACAAAATACATGGAACAAAATCTTTCCTATGAAGCATGTTCTTAGAATCCAATATCATTTTTGCTCAAGTAATTCTAGATCAGCCCAGGGTTGAAACAGAGAGCTATTTACTCCCTGAATAGAGAGCAGACTCAACAGGTGGATTCTGATCTTTGCTGTACAGCAATGTGAGATGACAAGAGGATCAGAAACAAGTATAAGACAAAAAAGGTTAATAACAAAAGAAAGATCAAATCATCAACACAAAAGTCTCACAACAAAGAAGAAAATGTTTTTATAAAAATCGACTTTTGCCAAAACTCAGTTTCAAAGGATTCTGACTCACTGTGATTTTT